TCTTGACTGCAAGCATCTACGAAGAATGCCATGTCAGCATAGCTGCCACACACATATTTAAGCTCTGGTAGTAATTCAGTTCCAAAACGTTCATGGAGTCCTGAAATAGGACCATGGAGAGTCCCAAACTGGAAGGAATCACCTTGGTGCAGGACGGGAGCCATTCGAAAGCAGGAAGCAGGAAACTAACCGGTTTTTCAGATAGATGACTTGACAGAAGACGTGTTTACAATAATCTACCCGTATCAACCGCAAAATAATGTACAATGGATACTGACGTGAACCCACCACTAACTTGGCTTTGCAAGGAATCAGATTTTTAGAATCAGGATTTAAAAGAAAGTCGGATATTTACCTGAAGTTAGACGAAAAGCCAATAACGGAATCATTCGAGAAATCTTAACAAGCAGCTTCATTGGACGCTCTACGCAGGGTGCTTTGATTGAATTTTGTCCCACTACGACATCCCGTCTCCTAAAATACGACAGAATTCACCCGAATTCGGGAGAGGCCATCGCGAAAGCGCGATAACAGCCATACGATCAGTGGAGAACAGACTCCCATTGACACCAACCTCCTGCCCAGATATTTCGGCTAAACGTCCGGGTTCCACAAAACTCATTAGTTATTCAAGTTTACCTGTATACTGTAGTCAGTACATTAGCAGCGTATGAAGTTCTTCTCCCAAAATCACACCGGTACAGCATAAGGAAATAAGTGGGCATCAGGTAGTTGCTTGAATAACGGTGGACTGGTGAACTGACCAGTTTGAAATGCTCGGATAAACGAAACACTCGTCCACGGTCATTCGGCTGCTTTGTTGGCTACCGTTGAATACAGGTTTAACGCGGATAACCTCCCGGACTTTTGGCACTACACCTTTATCATAGGAGTGAAAGGATGACCTCCCTAATGGTTTAGCCAGAATCGTTGCCCCTTCCAGGAGAATAGAGTATGGATTTTGTTCAGGCCCTGGGACGCGTAACTTTTCGGAGCATCAGTTTACGACTCAGAGGCTTAAAACTCAGGTCAGCGGTTGGCACTGGTACTGTGTGCTGTTTTTGAAACTCCAGTATGGGTTAGTTAGTCCATACATGCGACTCTCCGCGACTAGTTCGCGAGAAGTATGCAGGTAGAACAAGGATTTTAGTTGTGATGCATGCGGTATAGTCATTCCCAAGAATATGTTACATGGCCAATTCACCAAAAAGTTCACGACAAATCACAAAAGCCCAGTCACACCGCATTAAATTCCTATATTTACACTCAGTCCTATTAGAATGATAAATGATGGGGTCACAGCAGTTGTCAAAGTCACAGAAAGGCGGTGACTAGCAAAAACACTGCTGGACGTAATTTGACCGGATGTAAACCACCACATGTACCATGTCTCTGTCTGGGTGTCAGCAACCCACCAGGTGCTGCCTCCATGGAACCCCCGTGTGCATTTCCAGACAAAGTTCACAATAGGGTCAGTATTTGTCGGACCCAGGGGCTTGTAGTTAACGCTTGGGACAATTCGCTTTAGGTAACCACAACGTAGCAGATAAGAAGGCAGCGGCACAATCTGTTTATCCTAAGTACTCTGGTGGGCAAGTCAAGCGAACAGAGTTCAGCGATTATACCGAGAGTTGCTCGCCATTCAATGGCAGCCAATAGTGAATGCATACTACAGTAGAAATCATAACCAAGTCTACTGAACACTACGCACTGACCGAACGAAAACATAACCATCTCAATGTTACTGCTGGTCAGCCCACTGAGGCCCATCAAGCCTGAAATGTTTCTTCTAGGCCGGCGGATAAGCAGCAAAAAGGTACGAAGGTCGCTTAGATTCAGTACCAGCATACCAGTGTCCCCGGATTACCGTCGATTCTTATCATCACCGAAGGTGCTAATGCAAATACTTTCGTTCTTCCGAAAATATGTGAGGGTTAACCCACGGCAGTTTCTTCTGCACTCAGTTTGGTGGAATCCCTTCAGCCCCAAAATTTCAAGGTTGTTATCAAGCATTATTTGGGGTCACTTGAAACAGCTTTGAGGTTTGAGTGGCATGACCTCACTGATGGCATATATGGTATTATAAGGTATGAAACTCCAGAAGCTGATCAGATACAGCTAGATATAGCTATTTTTCCGGTTCACCCTGCTCAAAGACCCTTCGAAGTAAATAAATCCAAGCGCCTGCAGTTTTAGCGGCGGGATTATTTATGCTTCATGGATGTGTCGCAACCTGGCAAATCCCACTAGGGGGAAGATTTTAAGGTTATCCACCGAAATTCTTTCTTCTGTGCAGATTTGTCCCAAGTGAGATAGGGTTTGGGAACCCTCTCATCCCACCAGCAGTTTTGCGGTTACCTTTATTCCCAGTTCCTCAACGAGGCTTAAAAGTTGGGCTTTAGGACTGATTTCGTTCCTATCACATTTCTGAAACACGAAATCAGACTTGGAGAAATTGAAATCATTTAGGAGCAGAGTGTGTGCGCACTTTATTCAGGAACAGCAACTAATTGCGTCGAAAAGCAGACGGCTTCCCACAAATGATATTTGCTAGTCACTGGGTGAGTTTCGTTGGATACGAGGTAAGAATGGGAGTTGGTTCCTACCCCATCATTCACCAGTTCCACTTTCGTTGTGAACTATCGTAGTTATAGTAACAGCTAGCTCCTAATCCTAAATCTGAAGCGAAGTCTCTTTGTTTAGTATCACCAACGGGGTGAACCTCCGACCACTTAATTCCCCCCACCTAATCAGGTTTGTTTAAGAAGGTTTGAGCCCTTTTATGGAAATAGCTTGAGTTCTGAACTTTAAATGCATTTTCCAAGGCCATACCACAGCTCAGCTGGAAACTCAATCGAATAATTAGTTTTTCCCTGCCTCGCCTAGATCTCCTGCCTCCGGTCAGTCTCTCAGGGAAAAAACCGACCACATCTTTTTGAGCTTCCATTGTGACCGTTCGGTCTGTGACCTACAGACCGCATGCAAATTCCGGAGGATGGCCGGTACCTACCAACCTGGGATATGTCGAATGCAGATACCACCATTTGGGAAGAAAAGACTACAACTCTGACCGGAATAGGATGGTCGTCTGTTTTGAGCCGGGATTTTAGGCACCGTGGAGAAGGATAAGGGTCAGATTTCCCACCTTCTACTGTATTTCAGCGAGTGCTATGCATAGAAAAGAGGATGAGATTACCTCACACATCCTTTGCGAAACTCTCAGACCCTTCTAAGACAGAACTTGAACGATACATGCAGATAAAGCTTACGTCACTATAGTGTGAGTCGATTTCCAGCCAAAAGATAGGTGGCCACTTGCCTGTGTTAGTCCACACGGCAGCTCAGACTTCAAACTTCATGTTGTAGAGTCGGTGAATGACGATACCTTGAGTTCTAAGCTTGCCTTATTGGGGTACGTTCTGGTTCCGGTTCCGAAAAACCTGAATGGATAGAGATGAACGATTATTAATTAATCTGGTCTCAAGGTAGTATTACTGCACCCGACCTGGAGATGACGGAAAGCTTCTCGAGTACAGCCCATTGGTACCACAAGACTCCAGATGTGCATTTAACATCCTTTCAAAATTTTCAGGCAATGGGGCTACTACAACTTCTGGAGAAAGTTCCGCAGTTTACAAACTCAAACTGCATACGAGTTAGCATGAACCTATGTACGTGCTCCCTCATGCTCTATTCTCGGTGGGTCGCGTTTCCGACTAGAGCTTAGAAGGGATCTTTCAGGATGGGGAGGATTATGGGCGATATGGTACATCATGATCACATCCCCTGTGATCCTCTGGTATTACACTAGATGCAGCTTAAGAGCAATCAAGCGGTTTGGGTACAGTTCGTGTCGTAACGCAATCGCTTTCTTTGTAGCTCTTCTCTGTACCCGTTCTAGGGTGGATATGTCTTTCTTCGAGTTTGGGGACACCACAAGCGAATTTTTCTGTCGATGACGGCGAATGTACAGAACATACATTGTAGTGAAAAGAGGAGTTAGACCCCCTAAAGTTCGCGGGTAAAATCCCAAGACTCCATAGGACCTGTCGGCTGCAGGGTGACAGTGGACTGGGGCTCCTGGTGTGTCACTTGGTGTGACTCCTTGATCTTGTTACATATTAGAGTGACAGATATTTATTTCGCCCGGGAGCAAGAACTGGGACTGCTATTATATTTGTCAGCTGTCATCATCCGACACTTCTTCGAGTTGAGAAGAAACAGGTTCTCTGTGATCCGATTAAGGATTTTCGTAAGGTCCTCCTGGAAGACCGAAACATCTGTCGAGACCTGCATCTGCCTCCTACTCCACAGATCATCAGCATAATGGCAAATGAAAACAAAGCGCTCCTGTTAAGTGATTCATAAAAGTAAAAAATAGTGGCGGGCCCAGAACAGAACCTTGAGGCACGCCAACCAGCACCGGGGACCAATCATGTGAACATGAACCAACTCTAACTGACTGCAACCTGCTGTGAAGATAATCTCTAAGCCAAGTTAGTAATTTTCCATGTACACCTCATGAGCTGAAGTTTCTTACACAAGATATCTTGACTTACCCTGTGAAAGGCCTTATAAATGTCAAGCGGGACCAATGCAAGTGTGCTTCTTCCGATCAACAGAGAGGGTTCAGCTATTCCAAGCTATCAACAAGTTGGCGTTACATTACTTCTAGGTAAAAAACCGTGTTGACTGTCGTTTAAGGTTGATTTCTTATGTAGGTGATTACGAAACGAGTCATTTGCTGCTCTCCCCATGACCTGGATAACTGAAGAAATCAAGAAGGTTGTTCTGTAATTATAGACAAGTAGTTTGTTTCCGCCTCTATATATTGAGACGACGGCCACCCGTTTCCAATCTGGAAGGCAAGTTACCCTTTCATTGGAAACGGGTTGTTGGTATGAAGATCCATTTTCCTTGAATATGATCATCACAGCAGCTAATAACATTTTTGCCCGGTAATGAGCTGCAGTTATTGACTCCTGTATGACTGGATCAGTATTCCACTGGACCGCGGCTTTCGGATTGTTTATTGGTGTCGTTTTAGGTGATCAGTTGTAGAGGCTAATGCTCTCTACATTTGAAGAGATCACTGTTAAGCTCTAATCATGTGTTTACATCAGCCTGTTTGAGGACTAATTTCAAAATATCATCTATTATTGATTCTACTCTGTGTCCTTGTCAGTTGTCGCGCCACATTCTAACTAGATGGCATCGTGGGAAGACCAGTTAGATCCAAATGTCTCTGTCACTACTAAGTTTACCCAGTTGGATATAAATGCCCCAGAATTTATACCCGGTGAACCGTTTCACTATAAACCATTCAGGCCTGCTGAAGTAGTTCCTTGTATCCCTCCTGAGGTTGAAGCACCTAGTCAACCTTTGGTATCTAGTGCCATACCTGAAGGTAAGTATTTAGAAATACCAGGTGATTAAGATTTCAGAAGCAGAGCCTGAGCTTGAAAAGGATGGGGATGTTCCAAAAAAGGTATTGATCGGTAGAAAATTTAGGCAGATTTTCAGACGATAACCATCGTTCCAGACAAAGACACACTCAATTTAGTATTCATCGGGCATGTTGATGCTGGAAAGTCAACTATTGGCGGACATTTACTTTACTTAACAGGTCTTTTTATTTTTGAAAGATTAGAGGTTTGTAGATATGGTAGATAAAAGAACTCTAGAAAAATATGAACGTGAAGCGAAGGAAAAGAATCGAGAGACTTGGTATCTGTCATGGGCCTTGGACACTAATCCTGAAGAGCGAGACAAAGGTAAAACAGTCGAATGTGGACGTGCCTACTTTGAAACTCAGAAGAAGAGATTTGTTTTGATTGATGCTCCTGGTCACAAATCTTTTGTCCCTAACATGATATCAGGTGCGGCTGTTGCGGACATAGCCATACTGGTCATATCAGCAAGACGTGGAGAATTTGAAACTGGATTCGATAAAGGAGGACAGACCAGAGAACATGGGTTGTTAGTGAAAACTGCTGGTGTTAAACATCTGATCGTATTAGTCAATAAAATGGATGATCCAACTGTTCTGTGGGATGAAACTCGCTATAATGAATGCAAAGACAAAATTTTACCTTTCCTGAAGAAAATTGGATTTAATATTAAGAGCGATGTTTATTGTATGCCATGTTCAGGATATGATGGGGCTTTTCTGCGCGATATTCCGAGTGAATCAGTCTGCCCATGGTACAGAGGTCCTACTTTATTGGAATACCTAGATAGTCTTCCCAGCTTTCCACGAAATATAGACGGCCCACTGAGACTACCTGTAACTGACAGATATAAAGACATGGGTACATATGCATCTGGAAAAGTCGAGTCTGGTTCTGTATCAAAGGGTCAAACTATAGTATTGATGCCTAACAAAGTGTCCGTGGAAGTTGTGCAAGTAAGAGTTTTTATTGCGTTTTAGTTGTGAGGTCCACACATATTGCTGTTGATTTTAAGGTGTTTTAATGTAATGTTTCATCACGATGCAATATTAACATTTGACAGGAAGTCTTAAAAGATCTACACTTCGAACACCGTAGTGCGCTACTATTTGTTGATAGCAACACGTTTTTTACTATAGGCTGTCAGCCAACTGGAATATTCCAGGAGCTCTTCTTGAACTGTTGTTAAGTGAAATGTTCAAGACAACTGCTTTCTATAGTTGTCTAATCTGTACTTCAATTTTAATGGTGTAAATAACCATTGGTCTAGTTATGCGACTTTCAACCAGGGGGTCATAAGTTCAACCCCTGGTCCACCATCTACTGAAATTCGACCAGACAGGTAGTTTCAAACTGTATAGCTAATTGCCCGGTGCATGAACACGCACGTGGTCCCCGGGGTTTTTTGTCGAAAGTGAATAACTAGATTTACTTAGGTCGTAAATTGTTGGGTTAATGTTTAGTATAATAATTAAGCACATACCCTTCTAGGTGGATTTCACGTAGAATTGATATTTAGTTCCAAAAACGTAATTTGTGACGGGCTTGTCAGGAGTTCTAAATGGTTGATGCAACTCATCTGTATGAGGATCGTTACATACCAATCTATATAATGGGTTTATGCAAGAGCTTGATACTACCCGGTTACCTAGGCCAAAGTAAATAGAACACGATTTAAACGTGATAACTATTTTTTTAAAGTTGAAAGTTTAGACCAGTGAATCACGCTATATCTGTGGTGTAGACTTACATGTATAGCAGTTTCTTGATGATTGTGGGGGTTATGTCTTGGCACAGCAGACCCAGCTCCCAAAGGACTTATTTTATCTAAAGGTTTTACCATAATCATTATGATATGTGGTTGTCCTTTCACTGAAACAGGTCAACTATTCTGAAGTGTCTGACTACGTAATTCGTCAGTGAAGTTCATTTCGGTGAGGTTGTTTGCCAAAGTTTATCAATAAGTTCACTCCATTCTAGCTGTGATACATTACCAGTCACCACTTAAGGTATACAAATTAATGTCCACATTAAGATAACTTTTCCACATTCTACATAAATCTAGTACAGCTCTACCGCGTACGTTTTTGTACTGCACTGAGCCACACTAGTAGGTTTTTACTACTCGGTTGCCCGGATAGAAGGTGAAACAAAATTTGGACCCAGGATCCGTTGCTTAAGAACTGAATACCCAATCCAATAAATCACATCTCTGTAACCTGCTCAAGTTCCAAATTTGAGTACCGTGTGTATTATAGTGTGTTGCAACCATCGAGATAATGTGAGATCTTGGTGTTCATAAACTGGTTAGGTATATATAATGTAAACATCTAGTAGGTACTCACTTTCACAAAACAACTTGTTACTTTGGAATCACATATATATGCTGTAGTGTATGAGTTGAAAACTGTGATTTTTAGGTGTGAGCGATCCTCAGTTTGAAGTCAGTAACCAGTTAATATGTAATAAAGTACACCTGAGTTATGCTATTTTATTCCAAATATACTTCGGAAAACACAGTGAAAAATGGACCATAGAAATAAATAGTATAACGACAATAGAAAGACTTAAAATTAATTCAGAAAGAAACAGCGGAAGTAAAGAGGCAAATTAGAAATGGGAACAAGACATATAGACGAATAATATTTCTTTCCATTATGTATATATATATATACATTATATATATATATATATATATATATATATATATATATATATATATATATATATATATATATATATATATATATATAATTAAACCAATCATGTAAATTTGTCGCTGGTCGCGGAACCTGAAGGTCGCGGGTTCGATCCCTGCTGGTGGGGTCGTGGGTGCGCACTGCTGAGGAGTCCCATACTAGGATGAAACAGCTGTCCAGTGCTCCCAGGTTTCCTTTGTTCCTCCAACTGATGTCAGTCTTCGATGAATAACAACTTGAAATAATATGATAAATGTTTTAACAATGATGATAAAAGAAGTTTGCACACCCCTTATCTCTCCCTTGGACAGGCACTACTTAGCAAACAACCTTATCATTGACATTTTCCCTACCCATTTCTAACTTTTCATCCCATACATATACTATATTTCCTTAGACCGTTTTTATCCACCTAATTCCCTGACTGAAGCTGCTACCTTGACGTGGTGGTCGGGCTTGCATATCAAAATGATCCAACGAGCTATGCTGGTGGAACACGTGTTCCCTCGAGGTCCTACCATACCAGAAAGGTCTGTTGGATAGTGGTTAGATGAAAAGCAGTTACCGTTGTGTTATAAATTACTACACTATGATGGGGGTCTGAGGGCGAAGCCGTACTGCTGCTAGCTGGATAGGGTGTGACACCGGTAAGGTGTTTCTCTTGGATGACCAGCAGTGCTATGCTGATGCTGCCTTCTCAGTGGAAGGAGGGCTAGAAAAGGTCGGCCCCAAAAATAACATACTCCACCATGCCCCACGGTCTGCCGGGCCGGTGGTGTTGGTTCACTTGTCGTTTCTTTTCGACCATCCGGCCCTAAAAATCCAAAAGTTCAAAATAATCATGCTCAAAAGGCTTCGTGTGACAGGTATCAAGCAGATGTCCAATGGGCTCTGTGGTCACACAAATCTCTTTCAGGCACCTTAAGAAGAAATAGCCTTCCACGGTGTGGGCAGCCGGGAAGTGTCAACAGCCCTCGTAACTCTGTCAGCACTCAAGTTTCTTCAGACCTCTATCCACCTCCCCCATCATTACCTTCTAATCTTCCTTCACGTCTCTTAATTAATGATGCTGCATCATCTTCAATTTCTCCTACCTCTGCAGCCTTCGACAACGATCTAAATCCACAGGACAACACTCCTGGTCTCCTTAAACTACGCTCCAAGTTACACATTGGAGCTTTCAGTGTCCGCACCCTCCGTCAAATTGATCAACAGGCCTCATTGGCCAAGACTAGCTACTCGGGCCATGGATCTGTCCTGTGTTTGTGAGACTCGCATACAGGACCCAAGTGCGGTTATTCACCTGACCTCTCCTGACCAATCTGATGAATCCGCGAAATTCACCCTTCGAGTTTCTGGAGATTCGATAGCTAGCTCTCGGGGTCTTGCAGGTGTAGGCGTAGTATTAAGCACAAGAGCAGAAAGCTCACCACTAGACTGAATTCCAGTTGATAGTCGCCTCTGCACTGTCCAGCTGAACAGCTCAGTGAGAACTAAAAAGAATAATGAGACTCGCCGTTGTCTCTTTGTAACCTTTCTTACGCACCCACCGACTGCAGTTCGGATGTAGTGAAGGACGAGTTCTACCTAAAACTGTCTAACCTCTTTTCGAAAGCCAAGAACTCAGACGTGGTGGTTGTTGCAGGTGATTGCAATGCACAGATGGGTAGACTGAGTGAGGCAGAAGGGCACTTATGTGGCACTTTCGGAATCCCCGCTGAACGAACAGATAAATATCACTAAAAGTACTTCGTAGGCTGGCAGACTATCCCACTTAAGTGTGCCGATGTTCCATTTTTTCCTTCATATATTGTAAGACTCGTAAAGAAACGTATATGTTGAGCAATCTTAATTTTCTGTCATATTCAATTTTATCTCATTGAAAAGGTGTTTGTAGGAGATGTGGAGGTGAACTGTGCTGCTGCTGGAGAACACTGTAAGCTGAGATTGAAGAATATTGATGAGGAAGATATCAGTCCTGGCTTCTGTTTCTGTTCACCTGATAATTTCTGTCAGGTAATTTGCATTACTTTTATTTCTGATCTATGAAATTAATTTTATTTTAACTGCTTCCAAATGGCAGTGAAGTTCAAACAAAAGTGTAACAATTAGCGTTCAGTTGGATATATTGATTATAATCCTTGATGCAAAAACATCAAGTCACGGTTGCTTCAGTGATGTAGGATGATCTTTTTAAGATTTTTTGTCCTTGTTTAAGAACATATATGACTCATTTTGCCTGCAATTTGCTGTAAATGTCATTTCTAAGTACTGCAAACAAGTAGTTTCAAAAAAGTGTGAATCTATCTATTGGTATTTAGCATTCTTTTCAAATAGTTCCGCATTCCAAACATTAAAACCAGACAGTAGTTCATTTACGCGATATATCTTTAAGAACATGGTATTTTGTGAACACATCGTTAGAAAACGAGTGAGAATCAGCCAGGAAAAAATCGACCATCTATAATTTAAGGAGTATTCGAAATTTCACTGAAGATCCCACCCATACAGATAGCTTTATATCATATAGTCTATTTACATGTATTCTGTTACAAGAAACTGAAGAACAAAGCCTGTTTGCATAATCATTGACATTCAAAAGAGTTGGTTCACTACATTCAGCAGTAAATAATTCACCAAACGTGGTGTACTTCTGTAGACTAACTCAGCTAATGTAAATTTTATGTTTTGAGTGTAAAGCGGATACTAAACAGGACTATTGATAAGAATTCTATCTTTCGTACAATAGGAAGTGCTTGGGTAAACCCCTACCAATAAGGTTCAACACAAAATAATGTTCACTAACCAGTAATCAGAATGTGTCCCTGTGACCTAACTTAAATGGTTGCACACGTTGTACACATAAGATGTCCAACTGCAGTTCAGAGCTTTGAAGTGACTTGATGTAACCCTTCGAGGCCTCTTCTCAGTGACGCTTCCTCAAAGTTGGAAAGAACAAAACTAGCCATCACAATAGATGGGACTATATTCCATACAAGTTATATTAGTGTACTTTTTTGTGTACAATTGCAAAAGTCGAGGGAACTCCTGCTAAAAACCACTGGAACAATAAATTCATATGGAAACAAACAAGTGGTCTTCCCTTTTTATACCTAGATGTGATGCGAAGAAATCATGGGACATCAGAGGTTCTCCATCACAAATGAACCCAGATCATGCAGTATCACGGTTTCTATCGGATAATCTACAATCGATGATTGCACAGATCAATATACTGTATGAACTGCTCAACTAGAAAATTCAAAAAGAAGTTTCGTTGCAAACAACCTTCAGAAGAATAACTAGCCGAAAAAGTCCATTAGAAAATATCGTGAAACGCCTTAGAACTACATCAAGTGCAGTCCGTAAATGGTTTTTATTGAACTGGAGTTAAATGGAGATCAGATAACAAGTAAAGTTGATCAGCATACTAACCCTTCACTAAGAAATGTGGACTAAGAAGCAGGATTAGTTCCATTATATCAATAAATGTTCACCTTTTCAAGCGTGATATCCAGCTCATACTACTTTAAGATCTACTTGTTAATTGATATATCTTTGTGGTAGATATATATAGCTATAAATGGGCTGGCTCTTAAACAATAACCTTAGGCTTCACCCTTGATGGTCTGTCGGTTCCTCAATAACAGAAAGAAACGGAAAAAACGACAAAAGCGTTATTGTTAAGGCAGACATCTACAATGAGTAATGGTTCATATACATTTTCCGATGGCCTTGGTAAGTTCTACACTTTTCTAGAAAGTCCTTTAGCCAATCTGAAACCCACATATGATTACCAATAGGTTAAGCCTATTCTTATTCGCACAGGTTATCTCTAAGGGCTTATTAGTTAACAGATCTTGAGTATTGCGATTCTCCTTTTCCTGTTTTCCTAGTACATACAACCTGTTAGTTGTTAACTTAACTTGATCGTATTCTTGCTATTTTACACAGTGATTACAGAATTATAAGCCTAATTTCCACGCTTTGAGCATACTGGTTTTTGTGCTCAAAACTGCATTCCTATTTAACAACATCGTGTGAATTTTCTGCGTGAAAGTGAGAAAAATTAGATTCATAGCTTCTCCAGCTACAAATGACCTACAATAGCATACATTAGTTATAATACTAGAAAAAACCATGTTTGATATGAGTTATAGTTCCAGCCGAAAATATATCCCTTACGAATAATAGTGGAATATACTATGTATTTACACTCATTTGGAAGGAAGATAATATAAATTAAAGAGATAAGAAACAATGGGAATATTATTGAAATAATAGAAAGGGAAAATGGCTTATGATATAGTTCATTATGTACGCAAGTCAATAATCACCTGTCAAGTGTCTAAATGAATCGAAGAAAAATATGGATCCAATAAGGTTGTCAAGAGTTACTAGTAAAAAGTTCATTTGATAGTCTGAAGTAAGTTTAAGCTGAAAAATGGTTAGAGGTGGTCAAAATAAAGCATGGTGTCAGTGCATGAAATCTTTCTCTGTTGATGTGAGTTGTGTAGGGGAATGTAGACTTCCCGGTTGGGGGTCCACGTGACAACAACGACCAGTGGTTAGAGACCCTAGGCTTAGAGTCAATCTCAGTGGCGCAGATGCATCCATACGTTAAACTTATCATAATCTTCATACTAAATCCAGTATTTTCTCGTTCATCCTTGATATCTTATCACGACTTTCAACCACCTTTGACTGCTTTCTTCTTCATTGTTGCTTGGTGTGGTAACACGAACGACTACTGAGTAATGTCTTATCCTATGTTGGTCTTGTGTCTGACATTTGATGATCGAAAACTCGGTGATTCAAAGCAGTTTTGATGTCATCTGTTTACTGATCATTCTGAAAGTTGTATATATGTCCACATTGTGGTCTCTGCTGCTTAAATGTCGAGCGATCTCAATAAACAACGATCGTAACCCCCTTAGTTTCGAATTTCCTGGTATATTTTTAATCGAACTAAACAGATACCCATCTTTCCTTCCTTCCGTTTCTGGTGATTTTTCATTGATGCACACCGTTTGTTGTGTTCTAAAAGGGAATAAGTTTGATAGGACTCATCTCAAACTTAAGCGTGTATTGAAACTGGTGTCCCCCTAAGTGCAATAACACTCGTCATTTTCTTAGGATTGTTCCATATTCCTGAATAAAGTTTTTGCAATATCTGTTGTCGAGCTGACATTTTTATAGAATTTCTCCTTTAATTTTATCATGCGAGTATCAATTCATTACTCGACTGAACAGTCTTTGCTAGGTTGCGTTTGTAACTGCGACAAAAGATCGTGTAATCCAAATGTTACTCAGTCCATATGGCTTTTTTGATATCATCCTACTTTTCATTTTTTCTCTATATTCTGTTTAAACTGTGGTAGATTAAAATGATGAACTTTCGTGTAAGGTTCTGTTTTAATCTTTCTCTCGCCATGAGGCCCGATGAGTTTTTGTAAAATTAGAATACGACTATATCGACAAAAAATAGTGGTTACAAAGAGTCAATAAAAACAGTGACTTTTAGCTGTTTTATAACTTTATAGAGATTTTCAAACCATTTCAACAATATTCAAAACCGCTTAAATTCGCTACTTCGTCTATAGGCTGATTTCTGACGTGAGACCTTTTTTACACTTGTTTATATTTTCTTGCACTGTTGAGAGTTTTGCTTGGCTGTGGTCCAGGTCGTTTGTTTACTGGTGGTTGACAACCCAGTGTGGTATATGAATATGTTTCTGGTTACCAGTTCGCCCTTCAGGTACCACCCTGAAAACAAAATGAGTTGAAACTCTAGGTAACCCCATTAATTCATAGAACAGTTCACTCCATGCGTAATGATTTCTCTAGGTTATATTTATTGTAAGTTATTCTTTTTCTCTTGTTCTACTCTGCTTTATAGGTTTCAAATATGTTTGATGCTCAGTTACTGATCCTAGATTACAAGTCTATAATTTGCCCAGGGTTTATGGCTGTGATTCATATTCATACATGTATGCGAGAAGTACGCTTACATACCATCATTTGTCGATTAGATAAAAGAACAAGTCAGAAGACAGATGTACGTCCTAGGTTTATCAAAAAGGATGATGCGGCTATTGTAAGATTTGAAGTAAGTTATGCACAGTAGTGGCAGGAAAACAGCGAATATCCTTTTGTATATGATCTGTACGTTTTGGTGATCTCATAGTACTTATCTACCAGTGTATAAATATTCACATTCTACACATTTGTCAAGTGATAAAAGCATATATCATCCGAGAGACAAATTTTGTCTAAGATTTTTAAATTACATTACTGTCTTACCTGTACTTGTAAGATAGCCCTTTTATTTCATGAGAACTGTGTAATCGTTGACAACCTACTAGTCAGATTTGGAAAATACGCTTCTAGTGGATTTGGGTCAGAAATAGAGGGATACTTACTGAATATTCAGTACTCACAAGCCTTCAATATGTCACGCCATTACTGACTTTTAACTGTGCTCGCTAATGTTTAACAAACATTTGTAGTCAGTGATCGAAGTTTCCTCCGATTACTCCTAAAATTGCTAAATAAACGTTAAGATGTTAGTATCCCTGTTTCAAAATCATTTGACCATACCTACAGGTAGCTCTCTATAAATTCGCAAAAACTGTAACCTGCTTTACAATTCACCCAAGTAGTTGCTGACTCCTTAGTTGTAGTGAATGCTGGTTTCCAATCTCATGTCGGTTTATTAACTGAGCTAGCAAATAAAAAAGTTACAAAAGAGGTGAAGTGAACCGAAAATTCCTCGTGATGATAAAAGAGCGTATAATGCTTTCTGTAAAAATATTCTAATCGCGTGTGTCGCGTAGATAAATGATGTCAGGAAGCATTCTGTTAGGTAGTTGTAAACATCCAAAATGAAGACCAGTACCTATTACGGTTGTTGAACTTGTTGAGAAGTTTTTGTTGAGCAAATCTTGTGCATATCGTGAAGTGATGTGACAATTTATCGAGACGTCTATCTGTAATTACTATCTGTCTATGTGTACAGAACTCATGATCGAATAATCATGTCTATTTAAGAGCGAAGGCAATGTTCTAAATTATAAGTAACTTTAAGCAATATAAAAGTCGATTCTAAGCTTCGCTTCATTTCACACGTCGTTTTTGTTCATTTCTATCACTTGGGAAAAATTCTTTTCTGACCACTGAGTTTTGTAGCCATAATTCATGTTGCACTATTATGTAGTGTCTACACCATCGTGTCCATATGACCTGATGAAGTTATGCGGTGGAAAATATAATCAAAAACTTAGTATTATATATATATATATATATATATATATATATATATATATATATATATATATATATAATATTATATTATATTATATTATATTATATTATATTATATTAGTCCCTTGGGTTCCTAGTGGAACATAGGACTTCAGTAGCACGTCTCCAGTGACCTCTGTTCTCTGAGATCTTTTGAACCTGGTTCCACGACAGCCCAGAAGCTCTCATTTCCTCCTCGCACGACCTCCTCCATGTCACCCTTGGACGTCCAACTCGTCGCTTCCCCTGTGGATTCCACTCGAGCGACTGGCCTGACGTGTGATGTCCCCAGTCGGCCTTCTCAGTGCATGCCCAATCCATCTCCATTTCCTCCTGCATATTTGTTGCGTGATAGGTTGTTGGTTGGTTCGTTCCCAGAGCTCCTTGTCGCTTATTCTTTCTGGCCATCTGATCTTTAGTAGCGAGCGTAAGCAGTTGTTGATGAATGTCTGTAGTTTATTGGAAATGCCTTTTGTGACGCGCCAAGTCTCTGAGCCATACAGGAGTACTGACTTGACGTTGGTGTTGAAAATCCGGATGTTGTTCACGCTCCATGCTGAGTGCAGAAGATCTCCACATTGGTTTCAGGCTAATGAACGCCTGTCTTGCTTTTCCGATTCTGACTTTGACATCCTCGTCTGTCCCGCCTGTAGTTGAAACAGGGCTTCCTAGATAGGTGAAGGAGGTTACTTCCTTTAAGTTTCTCCCGTTGATGGTGATTGGAGTTTGTTGTTGTTGGTGGAGTTGTTGGTGCGGGATCTTCATCACCTCTCTCTTCTCTATATGCACCTGAAGTCCCGTCTTCGCTGCCTCTTCTGTCAGCTTGTTAGTTTTTGCCTGTAGATCTTCAAGTTTATGTGACATCAGGCACAAGTCATCGGCGAAATCCAAGTCTTCTAGGTTCTTTTCCTCAGTCCAGCCAGCGTATCCCCCTCTTCTCGCTCCCCACTGTTTGCTGCATGATCCAGTCGACCACAATCAGGAATATCATGGGTGATAGTAGGCGGCAACCTTGTTTCACTCCTGTCTTCACTTCAAAAGCATCACTGAGCTTTCCATTGTGAATTACTTGGCTGGCATGTGGCATCTTCATATAGTTGTTGAATGAGGCTGATAAAGGTTTGTGGTATTCCGTAGTATTGAAGCAGTTTCAAAATTACTTCTCGGTCGACGCTGTCAAAGGCCTTCTCAAAGTCGATGAAGTTGAGATGAGGTAGAGGGTTGACTGCCATTCTATACTCTGTTCTATGATGATGCGTAGTGTAGCGTTGCAATTTGGTCTGCACATGATTTGTACTTCCTGAATCCAGCCAGCCAGCCTGTTCCGGTCGTAATTTTGAATGCAGTGCATGCTTTAGCCTCTCCAGGATGATGCGGCTTAATATTTTACTTGCATTGGGTGGACAGGAGAGTGATTCCTCGCCAGTTCTTGCAAACACTGAGGTCTTCCTTCTTCGGCAGTTTGACAAGGTAACCCTTCTTCCAATCACTAGCCAGGTACCTTCTCTTCCTTCCACACCTTCTACAATAATGGTGTGGTGTGAGCATGTCTGCTGTTGTCTCTGTGTCTGTTTTCAGTGGTTCTGGCGGTATCCCATCTGGTCCTGCTGCTTTCCCGCATTTGAGTAGCTTAATGGCGTTCAGGACTTCCATTTTTGTTGGATGATTTATGTTAACTTGTAGTTGTTCAGCGGCTGGGCTGTAGGTGGTATTTCTGGACGAAGTGCAGGTGGTGGTGGTGGTGGATTCAAGAGCTTCTTGAAGTGGTCGGCCCATTGTTTCCTTTGTTTCTCTTCTTTCGTAATTAAATTTCCGTCATCATCTTTTATTGGCTTCGTCTGCGTTGATCTCTTCCCAGATAGCAACCTGGACATTCGATACAATGTTGTCAGGTCTCTGTGTCTCCCACCTGCAGCCTGTTCTGCTTCACTTGCCAGTGTGTCGTAGAAGTGTCTTTTGTCTTTGCGTGCACTCTTCTTCACTTCTTTGTCCATTGTAGTGTTTTATACATTGTACTCAGTTCCTCTTGTCGTTGAGCATCCTTGCACTGGTTTATCTTCTGCTTCACTATCCTCCTCTCCTCTATCAGCTTCCAGGTATCCGTCGAGATCCATTCCTTATCTTCTTCTTCCTTCCTAATACTGTTGTGCAGGTTTCTTTCCACATAGCTTTCAAAGACTTCCAGTGTTCTTCCACACAGGTTTCTTCAGGGATGTTCCTCGATATCTCCCATTTTGTCTTGATGGCTGACTGACGTGAAGATTTCCTTTGTAGTTTCGTCCTTCAGTTTCCGAGTGTTGTACTTAAACTGCGGCCTATCACCAGCTTCCTTCAAGGCTTTTAACTTGATTTGGAAGTTGGGTTCCTTGCAGTAGACAGTGAGTGGTGTGAACCTACATCTGCTCCTCTTCTTGCCCTTGTGTCAAGTAGACTGCGTCTCCATTTTCTTGAGATTGAGATTGAGTCGATTTGATTTTTAGTGTGTCCATCTGGTAAAATCCATGTCGCTGACTTGTGGATATCCTTGTGCTTGAACACACTGCCTGACTGCAATCACCAAATCGTTGAATGCACAGAATTCTGCAAACAATTCTCCATTCTCGTTCATCACCTCACCGAGTGCTTCTCGACCCATGGTTAGTTCTCTACCTATGTTGTCCCCTCCCAGTTTGGCATTCATGTCGCCCATTAGAATTTTGATATCGCCAACTAGGGAGGGGTCTTGTCCAGTGTTGATTGAAGTTGTCTGTAGAATTCCTCCTTTTTCTCTTGCTCTGCATTATTTGTAGGTGCGTGGAGTAGCATTGTATGATTGTGACCTTCCTTCCTTTTGAGTTGAATCTTGCTGTCATGATCCTGGAGGAGATTTGTTGCCAGTGCATGAGAGCCTTCTATGGTGTTGGAGACATAATGATAGCCACTCCAAAACTCAGTGTGCTGTGCTTGTGGTTGTCGTCTGGGTGACAATATCGGAGAAGTTTATCATTGACTCTCCAGTTGACAGTTTGGAGAGTCCACTCCCATTCCATGTGCTGTCGCAAATTCCAAGCACTTCAATGTGATACCTTCTCATCTCGTTTTCAATCTGGGCTGCCTTGCCAGGTTCAAACGTGGTGTGGACATTCCATATCCCCACATTTGCTTTCGCTTTCATCGAGAGGAGAGAAGACACATTGGTCAATTGGCTTCCTGAAGGCTTTCACCAAGTGGCGTCATTTCGCCTCTCCGATTCCAGCGAGGAATAATTTTGTTTTCATTTTTTATATTTTGTTTGTGCTTTGAAGTTTGTTTAGCGGTTAGATTTGTTTTACGGGGTAGGGTTGCCAGCCCTATGTCGAACCTTCCCTGTTTACCCGGGCTTAGGAGGGGCTAGTAACTAGTGAACTAGTTAACCAGGCGAGGTTAAAAAAACTTAAAAAACTAAAATTAAACTTAAAAAACTTAGTAGCCACATCACTAATCTTTACACACAGCTATCTGCCCATTTATTATCAGTAATTTTCGTAACTTTCTGAAGAATGGAAAATGTAACTCGCTAGCTATAAGTTTATACCTATGTTTAAGTCATATATACTTTGAAAGTGACTCAGTAGCTTATTGGATAACCGTCTGGCATTTGAAGTGATCGGTCCTAGGTTCGAGTTTAAGTTGAAACATCACTCAGTAGGAGGCAGGTACACCGAGCTGACGAGTTCAAAATAAGACGAAACGCACGTGCTGAATTTCACTACTAGCCACTATCCACCATTACTTCGAAAGTTTAGTGTCGATTTGAACTTAATAATACAGTGGTTGGGAACTAAGTGGCTAAATCATTAATTCATACCTCTAGCAACTTGGTACTGATGTTCTCATCTTTTAAGAGACTGAAATTTCGGAGAAAAATATTCTGAAATATCACATTTGATTGGGCAAATCTATCAGCTGTCTTGGAAAGCATTCAGCTTCAAATTTTTCGTTAATCTCATTGTGACTAACTGACAAAATCAACATAGAACCTCGCACACAGGTGCATCGGCTCAGGTTGCCACATTTCACAGTAGTACGCAGAGAACAGGTGGATAGAAAAAGAGTGATATCAAAGAAGGTATAGTAGTGTGAAAAAATAAGCAGTCTGAAGATAACGAATAGTGCGAATATTCAAGCTTTAGAAGATGCTAAGGAGTGAATACATCTGCGCCATTGTGACCGGTTTCCAGCCATGTCACCAACAGTCAGTTCCCAATTACTGATTCTTTTCGTCTCGTCGACCCCAACGAGGCAGTCCACTTCTCCCCACACGAATCAAACCGATAGTAAGAGCTTTCATTGACTGGTGCCAAACTTGGTCTGACCACCTTGAACCATCTCTCAACCTAATCCAACTTCGCTTAGCACGTCGTGGTAGGAGGTGCCTCGGCATGCGCAATACATGTTCAAGCCATCTCAATCGATCAAGGTTCACAACCTCATCAATCGATTTGGTTAGTATCCTGCGCCTGACCTCAACATTGCTCACACGATGATTCCACCAAACACAAGCAGTGCTACGAAGACATCTGTGATCAAAATCCTGTTATCGCTTCATGTCCTCTACTTTTAACGGCTATGTCTCACAGCCGTACAACAGGACGGAACGGACTGCAGCAAACTACACTCGTCCTGTGATGGGTAGTCGTAAATCTCCCCAGTTGGTTCCACAGTGACCCAAGTTGACAAATGCTGAGTGAGCCTTCTGTATCTGACCTGAGATTCCAACAGCGACCAACCCGTTCTGGCTAATGCAACTTCCCAAGTGAAGTGGTCGTCACATCCCACCATTTCACTCTGTATCAGCAAGTTGGGGGTACTTGGGGCCGACCGGTCTTGAAGTATCATCTTATATTTGACAGATGCGAAACGCTTGCCAAAAATGTCCAGATTTCTGCTGCATTTTGTCAGCATCTTCACCTGGCAGGACAATATCGTCTACATACTCCACGTCAACTAGGTGACCTTTAGAGAGTAGGTCAGTTCCTATCAAACCAGATGTACCTAAGGTCATGTCTCCTAGTACATCTATGACGAAGTTAAGTGGGAATGTTGACAGTTGGCATCCCTTGCGAATACCACTAGTCGTTGTCAGTTCATATGACAACTCCCCATATATCTTCACACGGCTGAGTGAGTCCGAATAGAGAGCTTTGATTAGCGTTATATACTTGTCCGGTACTCATTACACAGTGAGACACTGCCACAACAATACGATCGACTGAGACAAATGTCATCTCCAGGCAGTTTACATCTCCACACACGGCTCAGACCAACAGTTCATCGACTGGTGCCATGCCTTGATCTGGATGCACTATTCTTATGGTTATACTATGTGATGTATCTGAAATACTTTCTGGTAACTAATACCCAAGTTTTGTGTACTTGACAACCGTGTTTAGAATTTTAATTGATACTATTATATAGTATCCAGAATTGGAATAGTCGATACTTGCCATATATATATGACATAATGTGCTGTACCTATTATGTTCCGTTATGTCAACAGTGATCCCATTTGTAATACTTTATTTACTTTATAGGTCCTAGGTGATGCAATTTGCTTAGAGACATTTAAGAATTTTTCGCAACTCGGACGTTTCACCCTACGTGACGAAGGAAAAACAGTCGCCATTGGGAAAGTTGTTAAAATCTTGAACCCTGTCGGTTTTGACCAGTAAACTGTGTATTTCTTTTCAGACAAGATTGCTTTCCCCTTGATATATATGGTTTAAAGTGGTGATTTGATTTTTTTATTCTGGACAATTGAAATGTAAACACTAGACATTGGAAAACATTACTTGTTTTCAATTCTGATACGTTTAGTCAGATCTATGTGAGAAAAGAAAGGATTTTTGATAATCTTGGCTTTAGGAAAATATGCAATTTACGCTGTTTAGAGATCTGTCGAGATTAGAAATATAAGTCATTATCTTTCGGGTTTACTTCTACTTTCTTCAAATTCCTCACGATAGTAAAATAAATCACCAACCAACTACTTCTTTATTAGAAAAAAGTAAACCTTCCCAAAGCAGTAGGAGAGATACGTCTGAAAAGCCATTGTGTTGGTTTTATCACTGATTACTTCTGTATTGTTTGATTTCCTTCTAATCTATAACTCCAGTGACCGTAGAAAATTACAGGTTACTTTAACGATAAATGTTCAGGTATCTCCACTACACTAGTCGATCAGCCAAAACCCATTTCTATAATTTGCCATTGAGATATCAATCTCCTGTCATTTTGCAGTAAGTTCACTTCAGTACAAAATAGAGTACTTACCGTTTGTATCCTAGACTTGTACTTCCGCTACCCGCTGTGTTGAGCTTTGTTATAATTATTGCTTGAACACAAACTTGCTACAATATGGGTATCAAGAGTCATACCATATAAAATAATTAAGCAACATTACGAAGTGACAGGAAACGGAAAAGAGAGTAGAAATAAAAACAGAAATTGGTCGTTAAAGAACCGGTCTTAAAGATACATCAAGGGAAGTATTTTCGTTTTGCCTTTCAGAAGAGGCACATGTTTCCATCCTGAGCCATGTCTGCTATTGTCTCACGCCACTAAGTTGTATGTTCTCTTGAACCCTTACTAAGGAGTCATAATGCACGACAGATTCTAACCCGACATAAATACCCTTCATTTCACTGCGCCTCGTCATACACGGACTGCTTCTCCATTCCTGTTAACCAATCTCAAGGCTAACAAACAGTTAACGATATTTAAGCCACTGGGACGACATACGTAACACATATTGGTCTGAGCCGTCAAATAACCTTTAACTTCCTGGTCGGGGTCCGCTTGAAGTCGGTCGTTGAAGACTCCGGGTGATATGGCTATGAGTCGGTATCAGTGAGGCAGACCTATCCATACACTCGTAATTTCAGTCCTCTGGCTGAATTTCATTATTGTTTTATCCATCTTGTTCTCTGTTTCAGACTCCCTACTTTTAAATACTATCTCGTTTACTAATCTATCTTGTCTATCTCTTTCACCTTGATGTCTTGATATGAGGTGTAAGTCATTATTTACCAATGACAAATATAATGCTGATAATGACTCACGCGAATTGAACATATCACACCTTAAAGCGTGACCATTGTCTAAGTATATGCTACAGAAGCAGTGGCAGTTCGGAATGTACATCACCATCAGTAGCTGATTGGTATGTGGTTTGTTTATCTCAAAGTGAGTGACAGAGTAAAGGGTCCCAGGTTACCCGATGATGACGGCTGTACCGGAAGTCGGTGCTGGCTCGAAATAGGTTGCGGTCTGCACACAATTGCAGACGATGGCCCTCGCTATCCCATCTGTAACCGACTTGTCCTCGTTGGCCACCTGAACTACTCTTCTCAGAACCTAGACACCTGAGTCTCCTCTAGCTGCTAACACTGCGATATCTGTAGAGTCACCTAATAGACAGGGTCGCTCAGTTGATGGTGCTACTGATCATCAGTTGTGTGTGGACTGGAGCTAGTGGGAGGCATATACAGAGGTGGTGGAGAGACGTCGTTTCCCTTGTCAGTTACTTCCCTCTCTAATTGAACTCTCTATCCCAACACCACACGCACACACAGTTGTTGATGGAAACCCAGTCGACTAGTGAAACTTGAAATTCAACATTTGGCACGATGCCACCATCTACAAGACTGGCTGGTAGTGCTGAAGTGTCATCGGCTAAGTGGAGAGTAAACGCTTTTTGAACTGACAGATGGAGATTTTGGAAGCACTACACGGAGTTCTTGCATGCGAGTTTTCGAAATACAGCATACATCGATAGAGGGGCTAAACTGAGTTCTAACGAAGCGCGTTTGTTTTCCGATCTGCAATACTTGGTCCGAATGTTGAAGGCGGCGAGCCAGTCTGAGTGAACGGTGTATTCTCAGTATAGTTACATCAGATTCCACGTTATGAGACGTGTTTTTGGAAGGAATTGTTTAGCGATTGAAAATGATACAAACATGCCAGTATTTGAATCAATGGCGAAGAGTGTAGTGAGAGGAGAACGTGAGTAAAGACGGGTTTGAAAACCAAAATGAAAAGGTGTTATGGTTTATGTGTAAAATTAAAAATGATGCAGTGACGTAGAACTGTTGAGAATAGTTGTTGCAATACAGTAGATTTGATTGTTTGTGGGCAATTTTGAGCAGTAGTGTTTGTTTTCGGTGTTACTCCTCAAATACTCAAATGGAAGTGTTGGGCTATAAATAGGACTCAGTCTGCCCGTGATTTTGCTTGAAATATTACCAAAACTGAATAACGTCATTGTTTGTAAACATTCATCACAAATATCTTTCTAATAAATACCATGCTACATATATTGGAGCTGGTGTCGATATATTGCTTTATCCGAGCTCAGTTATTGATTATCGGTAAAAAGTTTATCTCACTGATATCGTATTTGTTTCGTTTAAGCGATGTTTTACTCCTCATTAATTCCAAGATGGTTTAAAATCATATAAGAGTAAACCTTGAGTACTCTGATACAGTATGTTTCCAAATAAGTTCTTTTACTCTCTATATATCACACTGGAGTACTATTTAAGTAGTAGATTGTACTGACTCTCTGTAATACGTTTTATAAAAGAACTGAAATGGAATTTTTTCTAAACTAATTTATTCAGTGCACATTGAATAGTGGGTAAGTATATTTCGCAAACCTAGACGGAAAAACGCAAAGTTTTCTACTGAACGTTCAAAATATGCTGAAATATAAAATGCACCTATGAAAATTTCTGTAGTTATGATGAATACCTATTTATTCACGCGCATTTTTATGAACTGTGTAGGGAGCATTATTATCTTCATTGATACTGTATTATGATAGACAATAGTTTGGAATCACCGCGATAGTAATGAAATTCGAGGAATCGACAGCAGGTTCGATCTATCTGGTTGTATAGTGAATAGGTAGGTGCACTTTATTTCGGTAACGTGTTCAAACCTCGCCATACTGACCTAATCAACTGTTAAGTTGGTTAGCGAACTTTGATTGAGAAAGATCCTATTTAGAGCTTAGTAAGACAACAGTTTGAGTGAAGAGATATTTTTCAAATAGCTCCTCGTCAAAGACTTCACACTAATATGTAGCATCTTTGAACAATATATCTTGGCATATCTGTCGAATTGAGGAAGAGTTAATTTATAGATTATTAATTTTCAACCTTCAGAGTTGATGATTAATCCAGGAAGTAGTTAAAGAAAAGAACAAGTGCATAGTTCTTTGTGAAACAGGCTGTTTCTTAAATAGCAGTTTGTATGCTGTTCATTAGGAAGTAACAATCTAGGCAGCATAGTTCCGCTTCATAATACGTACCAAGGCGTCAACTTGAAGAAGCGCTGCACGGCACGGTTAAGTGTTGCTCACTGGTGAAAACCAAGGGTTTTGTACGCCGGCGATTGTGGACCGAGCCTAGTTGCTTACGATGGTGAGCCTCCTCGCGACCCTGCTGGATATCAGCCAACTTATATCCAAGCTGACTTAGCGAAAACTTCGTTCGACGAGATCCTTATGCATAAGATCAGTGATGCGGGTCTAAGAATCATGGACATTTTTGTTAACCCTCAGATTCCTTCCAGTGCAACTGAAAGCTAAGGGGAATCCAGCTTTTTAATTACGGTAGTCATTGTTATTGAAGTGAACCCCAGAGATGAGTTTAATTTACCTTGCGGTCCCAGTATCGTTAGCCTTAGCTTTGGATGTATTTCAGTAACCCGATGGATGACACAGCTGTGAGTCTGTTGTCATTGTGGATTAGCGGTTAAGTGAGTGCGGCCAACCAGTCGATTACTCGCCGAACGTGGATGCATTGAAGTCTGATAGTTGGCGATTTCTGGGATAACACAAATCAGTTTGAAGGGGCGTTAACAAAATACTCTGGCAGGAATGTTCGTTTCCGTGTACATCCACTACTTGGATGTTTCCTGCTTGCTTGACAAGGGGACCGAACCACTAAGTTTGCACTGGAATGTCCATAGACCTGAAGACCAACCTGGTACATTGAGCTGAGCCGAAAATTGAAGTGAAATACTTACGTCATATATGGTAAAACAGAGTGGCTAAAACTGTAATAAGACAGACAAAATCAACGTAGAGCCCTTCACAGATGTTCAAGCTCTTACACTTGACAGCAGTATACAAAAAACAAATGGGCCCAAATAGGGTGTTATCAATGTAAACAAAAGTTTATGGGAGGATAAAGAATTTGAAAAATAAAAGTTAGTCAAAAGGTTTAAGATTTAAAAGATGTCGGTGTAAATAAATCTACGAGATAGTAAACACTATCAGCCGTCACCAACTATTGACACCCCTTATCTTGAGGACACTAACCACGATATCTACACGAACAATGGGACACTTAGTGGACTGGTGCCAAGTCTTGGTCTGACCACTCTGAGTTTTCTTCCAACTTCGGCTAAAATCAAACGTCGAGATAGGCAGTGGCTCTGCATGTCCAACACAAATCCAAGCCAACTTAGTAGATAAATGTTTAAAAACCCACCAACTGGCTTTCCTTTCATGCCTAGTACCCTTCGCCTGACCTCGAAATCGCTGACTCGACCATACATGAGCAGTGCAGCAAGAAGGCCTATGGTCACAAACCTATGGCCTTTTCGTATCCTCTACTTTCAAACTGCAACAATAATTGTAACAGCTAGGTTTAGTAGAGAGGTATCGAAAACTGGCAAATAATCGGGATCAGCCATTAACAGGATAATATAAATGGCTTTTTATTTCAAAATCAGACATAGAATCTATCAACATACTAGTTATAAAGTTATATAAGTTCTAAATACATTGGTTAAACTAGTTGAGATGAATCTCAATGGCTTCTGGTGTATACTACTAATACAAACGCTTGAAAGTAGTGCACTGCATGATATTCCTGGGAAAAGCAAGTAGAGTTATCGTCCAATCGGTATAGGTTCTGAAGAAAG